TATATATTTTCCATAACATAGATGCAACTTTTAAATGTTCTCTATTTTAAGGATCTTAGCTATCTTAACTCACCAACTTTCACAACAATATGACTTTCTCAAATGTTAGAAATGATTTTGATAGTTGAACCTCGAAATCCGATGTTTAACTATTGAATCATAAACTAAGAGTTAAGTTGAATTCAAAAATGTTTTTATGTCTCTATAGCGAAGAAATGCAGCATTATTTGAGAGTAAGTTTTGATCAAAAATTCTTATTTTTTATTTTGATAAAAATACATAAATTTTTTATAAATTATTTATTTGTGGTTGTTTATTTATTCTTTTTTCTAATGTTTGTAAATTGTATAATTATTTTCATTATTTTATAGTATTATTTATTTATGATGGTATTTTTGTTTATGTCATTACTTTTTGCTAAGCTGCTATATATTTTTTCACTCTCTAATTCGCTCCTAATAAGCTGCAAACAAACAGGTCTAAGTTGTGAGTTACTAGAAAAAAAAAGTTATTATCTAATGTATTTATAACGCAATTCAATAACTTACTTTCTAACGGTCAATATTGTTTCCGGTCTTAAGGTTCTACTGCTGATTTTTGATACTGCAGATTTTTTATTGCTTAGTTTATTACTGCTGATTTTCTAGTAAGTTTTGGTAACTTTAATAACTTACTGCTTTTACTAAATCTTTAAAAAAAATAGGTACAAAAGTTCTGGCTCCAAGTATTGATAAAACCTTTGCATTGCGTATTAACAAAAGTTATGAAAATCTTTCCTCTCCATTTTTAGCATTAAAGTTATCCTAGATAGACAGCACTCTTCTTTTTCCTACCACAAGGTTTTATCTTTAAACCGCAAACACATATAAAAACCTCGGAACATTTCATACCGCTTTAATAAAGTCATCTTTAACATTCTTTATTTCTAGTAACTTTTGGGTAACTCAGAGATCTTCGATTGGTTAGAACAGGCAGCCAATCTTGAATCTGATCTCACTTCTGTATTAGGTTGGGGCTTGCAGTGTCTTTCTATATTGACGAATGGGTACCCTCTCATTGAGTCCTCTTCTTCACATCTGCTTGAATCATCGTTTACTACTGACCTCTCATAGAAACCGTTAACATCTAAGTTAACATCTTTTAAGGTTCTTTTCTTTATCGTGCTTGCCATTTTCTTATTTCTGATTCCATTCTTTACCTTTAAAAATCTCTTATTCGCTTTATTATTTATAATAAAATTGTTCAATAGAAAATAAAGAGTAAAGCTTATCTTAAACTTCTATTTTTGAACACGACGGCTTAGAATTGGCTTAGCTTCAGAAAGTATTTCTTTGTACTTTTCATTATTCACAGTACCCTTGATAATAAGCAATGTACCTTTGAAATAAAAATTACCTTTGGAACGAATCGCCCCCTAAGCCATGAGACTCTGTTTGAACTTTGGTTTGCCATTTCTCGGTTGTTTCTTTGCCATTAACCTTCACGAGTTCAAAATAACTCAAAACGACTCTCATCACTAAAAACCCATTGATTCTTTTTCTTAAGTGTTTTTTACATTATTTTACCCTATTTTCTTATTGAACAGGAGTCATTAGGGGTTGATTTTAGGGAAAAAAAGCTGAAGTACCCACTTCGGCTAAGATAACAAGTAATGGTACTCGAAGCAACCTTCGGACTACCTTTTATGATTAATTCAATTTGAATATCTCGGGCGGATCGTGTATAATCGTTTTGAGCTAATTGAATCAATTGTTGTTGGTCCATTAAATTAAGTTCTTTCTCTCCAAGGTCATTCCTCTCCTCATTTTCTTTAAACATCTTGCAACTGTTGCCTTTGGTATCCCAGTTAATTTTGTCAAAGACTTAATGTCTTTATGACCCGCTTTAAAAAGATAGTCAAGTCTTCATTTTTAAAGTTATTATTTTTAGGTAAATCAGAAATAATAATTAACACATAGATTTTTAGATGAATATATATGCACCTGATAAATCAAACAATAGGTTTCATGAAATACAAAAAGTCATTGCATGACTCGCTAAAAATTGTAAAAATACGAACAAAAGTTTTGCATACGCGGTCTCATTTATTTTGTCTGAAAGGAAGTTGCAATTTTTTACTTGCTGTTGACACAAGTGAATGTTTAATAAGTACTTTCCTAATTTAGTGTGTCGATTTAAGAAATAAACTTTTAAATGAGTGCTGTAAAATATCCCTTTTTAGTATTTAATCTTAATTGACCTATATGTCAGGGAGGGTTAGCTAGTTTTATTTCGTCATTATACCAGCTTCCAAATTATGTTCAGCTTTAAGCAAATAAAAATTTAAGGAAAATTGCTGATATTTTGTTTTTACGTAAAACTGATCAATTACTTAGTAAAAGAATTTTTATTTTTTTAAATTCACCCAGCCTATTGCTTTATTATAAGTATGTTGGTCTGGGGTTAAATTTGCATTCTAAATTATAGTATTTGAAGACATGTTTTTACCTTATGAGCATTATAAACAACACTCTGATCAATTGGAAGCCTAAGAATTCCCTAAACTGTAACATCATCAATGACAAAAGTTTTTATACGTAAAATCAATTATTATATTAAAAATAATGTCCAGATAATGTTCGTTTTGCAGGAATAGAAAATTTTTGAAAACAAAATTACTTGTTTGGATAGCACTATCTGAGCGTGGAATGTCGAAAGCATTCTTTCGGTCAACAACATCGGCTGCAAAAAAATAAAGCATTTATATTAAAGAATGCTTAGAGGAAAGCCTTAGAGCATTCATCGATGAGTATCATCAAGGTACTTAAGTTACATTTTTTGGCCAGATTTAGCTAGTGTTAATAGGTCTAATGAGGCCATATCCTGGATAGATGAAAATATCAATTTCGTACCGGTTGATATGAACCCTCCTAATGTCCCCAAAGCCCGGTCAATTGAGACTTCTGAGTATTGACTCAGAATGTATATGAGGGTGGATGGGAGGCCATATGTTCACAACAATTGATTAGATGTATCAATGCGTGTTTGAATTGAAAATTGGTACAACATTTTTACAATCACTTATGAAGGGTATCAAGACAAAATTGAGAATAATAGCCAACAAGGGATCGGTTTATAAAAGATAATTTTTTTAAAATAAATATTGTATTAATTTTAAAAAAAAATTAAAAAATTTTTGCTTTAGTTTTTTTTTAAATACAAAGCTTTGATTTTTGTGTAACTAATTTCTCCTCTCCCGTTATTTACATTGAAAAGCAAGTCATTTTAGCAAAGTGCAAGGTTTTTCTATACCACTGCATGTAGTTCTCTGTGCATTTACAATTTTTTCTGAGATGCCAAAAACAATAATTTTACATTGTACACCATTGTGCCTAGTATTTATATCAAACCTATCATATTTCCAATATGGATATGGTTCATGGGAATCGTTCAACTCATTTATAAATATCTATTAAATCTTCAGCGTAGCCTAAAAAAACTAAACTTCCTACAGATTTCAAGCAGAATATAGCCGTCATTGTTGATAACGGTTTTTAGGCACGTGTTGCGAAACAAAGGCTAAATGGCTTTAGTCAAACGACGTGTTCGTAACAAACGCCGTTGTCAAATATTGTCCGCGTCTCGTTGCTAAATCTCTATCTATTTTATATAAACCAACTGTTAAAAAGTAAATACATGTTCATTATAAATTAAAAGTTCAACTTTTTAAGTTCCTATTACATTAATATTACTAAAAAATACATTAATAAATAAAGACAATATTTCTGTCTGACAGACAAATGAAGACAATATGACAAATGAAGACAAATGAAGACAATATTTCTGTATTTCAGCTAGGGATGGCAAAAATCCCGGAAATTTTCAATCCCGGAATTTCGGGATTGAGAAATTTGTCCATGGGAAATCCCGGGATTGAATAGGAAAAAACGCAAATGCAATTGAATACTTTTTAAGCACTTATCAAACACTTAAAAATTATTAATTTAATGATAATTTATAAGTATTATATAAAACAATACTTTAAAATGGTAACACAGTATCAATAAAAATAAAAATTAAAAAAATAATATAAATATGTATGACGTTAAAAAAAACTTTCATAATTCACTCATTTGAAAATTAAAATGAATGGATATAAAACTGGAATTAAAATCGCGCATACTTTTGGAAACAGAAAATTCAAAATTAAATTAATGTATACCTTCTATTAAAAATTCTTGCACTTTTTACCAGCAAGCGCCTAAACTTTATCTATTTTTATAATATACTAGTTTTAATATAATACTATATATTATATATAGCATAATATTAAAACTAGCATATTATAAAACATAACAAAAATATAAGCGCTTGCTTGAGGAAAGAGCAAGAGTTTTTAATAAAAGTTATACTTTAATTTTATTACATATTTTTAATTTTAATTTTATATGTATATGTACGTATGTATGTATGTATGTATATATATATATATATATATATATATATATATATATATATATATATATATATATATATATATATATATATATATATATATATATATATATATATATATATATATATATATATATATATATATATATATATATATATATATATATATATATATATATATAAACAAACATATATACATTTTGCAGACAAGCAATGCTTTGATTTTTTTTTTTAGTAAAATGCAGAAAATGAGAGTTTTAAAAGGAAAACATTGCAAAGATAATGAATGATTACACAACCAAACAGCTACTATACCAAAGACGATATAAAAATTACTAAACTACAATTATAAGCTTAAACTTTATTAACTTTTCCTCTTTTTTGACGATCCCGAAATTCCGGGAAATTTCGGAGACTAATCCCGGGATTTCGGGATGAACATTTTTTACGAAATCCCGGAATTGCCATCCCTAATTTAAGCTGTCGCAGTTTAATTAAAAGAGGTTAATTTCATAATAATAAAATTAAAAAAAACTTAAAAAAAGCATGAATTAATGAAACTAGTATAAAAAATTTTTAAAATTAAATACACAATTTCATATATATCTTACACACTGTTACATAAATAATATGTTAATATAAATTAACTGCAATTAACAATAACATTTAAAAAAATATTTGAAGTTCATTGTCGTTGTTAAACATCTTCTTAAGCATTTATTTTTCATACTGCTTATTCCCTAAAATAAATTTATGATTAGATTACTATTAGTTTTAGATATAAAACCAATGGCTGAAACTATTAGTTTTAGATATAAAACCAATGGCTGTGTGAGATCATATCGTAAACCAAGTAGAAAATTAAAAAGTTAAGTAATAAAAAAAAATTGTACAAGTTATCTATATTCAAAGTAACTTCAGTCAAATTCCGTACATACGTTTTATTTAATAATACTCTAAATCATCTGCTTGTATTTAGAATTGATAAAAATTATACCTTCATCTCTCAAAATCCTCAACGTATTTTATGTAAACAACGTATTCTAAATAAACAAAAAAAAAACACACCTTGAAAGCAAGAATTTCAACCAGAAGATTATAAACTACCAATATAAAAATACTACTCACACACAAGGTATCAGAAAGTTTCTGTCTGGAAGGTATTTGTTTTAAAGCACATGAACCACGTCAAGGTTCCTTCCTATTCACATGTACGATTTTTTTAATGCAGAACGATTGAAAGCATATGACAGAAAAATACACAATCAATTAGCAAACTGCTTATTCTTGCACATTCTCATTTCTTTTAATAAAATTGAACATAAAAGAACAGGGAGTGAAATAAAAATGGACTTTAAAAAAACTCTAAAAAAAAAAGCATAAACTTTTAAATATATTAAAAGTTGAAAAAGAAAATTTTGGATATGATAATAAACTTTAGATGTCAACCTTCTAGAAAAATTCCAATACAAGGTTTACAAACAGTCTATATCGAATGTGATTTTTCTTCTATGACAGTTTAGGGCTCATTTTGATTAGAAAATTTTAACCCAAGCTTTTTAACTCAGATGTTTGCTGCTATGTTGATATGCCTATTTTGATAAATGGACACACTCTTACAGAGTTTTCTCGTTTATTTTCTTTCTGATTATCTTTTACAACTAATGGAAATCTTTCACCACTAATGGAAACTATAAATCTAATTCTTCGCTTATATTTAAAAAATGTATGCACAACCTATTTCTTATTGTATGGAAAACTGTTGTCATTATTAGACTGATTCTTCTAATGATACCCTTTATCATTCAGACAAATTTAAAAAACGCATTACGAATGTAGATGGACCAAATCAAGCTCCTAATCTTTAGCCTTAATAGCCCCATAGACAAAAAGTCTATTACTCTTTTCGACAAATACAACCATGCTTGCTGCTTATCATTTTGATAAACAGCAAGCATGATTGTATTTATCATTGCAAAATCATCATTTTGCAAAGTCGCATTCTTTTACTGTAATTGTTCTTTCACTGTTTACAGTGAAAATCCAATGACCACTTCAGTCAAGGGAGCAACTCATTTTTTAAAAAATGTCTCAATCATTACCATTTTTACTAACAAACGACATTAACAACTAAGATTTTTATAAAAGGCGTTGTGCGGAGAAATAGATTGAGGTAATTTGAACCCCTAGCTTCTGATTGCAATCCAAATGTTTTACTACAAGTCTACTAGCACATTTTACCTGTAGTGCAAAAGGGGACTCCATCAACTATAAATGATGTTAATTAATTGCATTAATTTAAAAACATGTTCACAATATTTTTGACTCAAAAAAATTACTATAAAAATTATTATGACAATTAAGTTATTCAAAGTAAGTAGTAAGACAATATAAATGTTGCAAACTAGTTTTTTTACTAACATGTTCAACATATCATTTCATAAACTACTTTGCACAAGCTTACAACATGTAATCAATAAGTTTGCAACCTGTTGCAACCTTGTAAGTTATTGTCAATCAGAATGACTATGAACACTTTTTAAGCATTTTTGCATCATAGAAAAAAACTGTTAGCCTAATCACTCAATTTTTCTCAATCTTTTAGAGGTCAGGTCTTTGTATCAAATAATTTTTATCAGGTCGGCAAAAATTATTTGATACAAAGGTCTGACCATTTGAAACGAGGTCGGCTATTTTTTGCCAACCTAAAACACTTTCAGGTCAGCAGTTAGGTAGGCATTGCCGAATGCCAACCCTAATTATGAGGGTTAAATATATATATATTTTATATATATATATATATATATATATATATATATATATATATATATATATATATATATATATATATATATATATATATATATATATATATATATATATATATATATATATATATATATATATATATACATATATATATATATATATATATATATATATATATATATATATATATATATATATATATATATATATATATATATATATATATATATATATATATATATATCTTAGGTTGGCTCATAAAACATCATTTATTGAAATTGTCTGCTGGTACCCCAAAATGTATTCTATGTAATAAATTAATACTAAATTAAAAAAGATTTTAAATTAATTTTTTTTTTAAGGGTTGCTCAAGACTTTTAAACATTAGACGAGTCACTATTATTCTGAAAAATAAAGTTTATTAAAAGCATTTTTAAAATTATTTTTTAAATTTTTATACAATTTCGCTTATTCAGAGACATACCATGATATGCTTTCGAAGAACTTTTTCAGAATATTAAAGACCATAAAATCTGATGTATAAGGGTCTTGAGCAAACCCAAAAAACTTTTTTCTATAATAAAATTTTATATTTAGTATAAATTTATTACATGGAACACATTTAAGGGGAACCAGTAGACATTTTTAAAAAATGTTTTTTTATAAGTCAACCTAATATATATATATATATATATATATATATATATATATATATATATATATATATATATATATATATATATATATATATATATATATTTATATATATATATATATATATATATATATATATATATATATACTTAAAAAATAATAAACCCTATGAAAATAAATATAAAAAAAATATGAAAAATTCTTTTTTTTTTTCAGGTTTCGTTAAAAAATTAGTGCTAGATTTAGAAGTCTGATTTTTTGAAATTAACAATTATTTCAAATTTTGAAATGTAATGCAATAATTTATAATTGAGACTTTAATTTAATGAAAAGCATAAACAAGGTTCGACAGTAGTCTTATACAATTTTAAACATGTATTAAACAATTATAAACAGGTAACTACTATTCATGAAATACAATCCTTTATTTTCATGAATAATGTGTATATTATATTCACACATTATTCATGAAAATAAAGTATTGTATTTGAAAAAAAAAAAAAAAAAAAAAAAAAAAACAGTTAGTATATGGGAGCCTTATTTTAAATACATTTTTTTTGTAGAAAATAAAATGTTATCATAATAAAAGAACAGTTATTTATATAGCGCATTTGAATTTTTTTTAAGTATTCACCCTAATCTGCACAACAAAAAAAATCTATAAAAGCTTCTTTTTTAAATATAGTGTTTAAAATAAATATAGTGTTTAATTATTTAAACATGCACAAGGAACACAAGGGAAAAAATATATATACACATTTAATTTGTATATCTTGGTGAAAATTGAAGTTAAGTAAAGAGAGATTACAGTAAAATACTAAATACATACAATTTTCACTTTTCCCTTTAGGTCGAAGATAAAATCTTCTGTGAGGATTTTCAACTTTCCATTGTTCTACTTTTTTATAAGACATTCTTGGTCAATATTTGAATACCTTTTCTTTCTTATTGCTTCAACATGTAAGAACGAATAGTTTTTTTGGATGGGAAGAACCTTTTATTTGATTTAGATGGACATATAATATTTTTAAAAATTTCTCTTGTCACAATGATTTCTAATCTCCTACGCATTTCATCAACACTAGTTATAAATTCAGATGATGTAAATATTTCTTCTTTTAATCTTGCTTCAATTGGCTGGGATATACCAGCAGCGTTGAAAAAAAAAAAAAAAAAAAAAAAGAATCATCAGAAAATTTAAACAAAAAATGTAAAAATCTGAAGATAGTTTAAAGGGTGGTTAGTTTCAATAAAAAAAAAAAATTAAATAAAGGGAATAGTCACTTGTTGAGTGCCTATAATTAAAAAAAAAAGAAATTTTAACAGAAAAATGATTAAGATATAAAGTAAGTAATAAATAAATTAAAACATCAACACTTGACTTTAACACTGAAATAAAGGAAATAAAAATCAATTGTAAATATATCAATATAATTTTATACAACTTGTGATTAAAATTAGTTATTGGTAAAATCAGATGTTATAAAAATTATTTACATTTCCAGTAAAGTGTTCAGTGTGAGAACTCATTGATGGAAGAAAAATTAAAAATATTTTTTGTCCCACTGCTTCATTTTTTGAAATTGCTTCTCGAATTTTTTTGGAGGAGGTTACTCTTTTCCATTTCTATAACCTAAAGAGACATTGCACTTTAAAAAAATTCACTAACGTAAACTAGTATTTTTTCAAAAAGCTATTTAATATTTTTTAGAAAGAAAAAAAAAGATTCTTTTGAATCATTAAGCAATATAATATTATAGGCAAGGGAATTAGGAACCCTTTTACTATTATTTATTATTCAAATATATATTAATGTTAATTTATTATTTTCTAAATTAAGTAAAACTAATATAATTTAAAAGAAATAAAACCTTAAAATCTGGAAATTTTAAAACTTCTTTGATCTTTATTTGTAAACTACAATTAAATTTCTTTGTGTCCTGGATCATTTCATAGTTTTTTTAAGTAACTGTGATCAGATACCTATTATTATTGTTATAAACATTTAGTGTATATTGTATAAACAAATATACACTACTAAATATAGTGTATAGACATGTATTTTATCTATAATTGAATCATTAAAGTTTTCAAATTTATGATATACTTATATAATATATAACTATAAATAAGTATATGATATACCTTATATAATTATTTAAATATAAATAAATATTGCACATTCAAGAAACCTTTCTATCATTGCAACGCATTTTATATTCTTCTTTAAAAGATACTTTTCTATCTCTTCCATGCATACAGTCAAGAACTTTACTTCCTACAATCACGAATGGAACACCATTAAAAGGTACAGAGTCGTCCTCTTGTCTTATTTTGTGGTGTTTGACAGAAGCTTCTTTAAACATATAAAAAAAAACATATTTAAAAACAGGATAAACAGGATATTTACTAGATTTTTTAATAAAGTTATTTATTACTCGTTTTGCCTTATACTACAGGAAGAACTATTTTGTTTTAATTTTTAGTTAGATATGTATAAAGAAACCTATAAATATCACCAAAAAAAAACAATGTGAGCAATATCTTAGCAACTGACAAACTTTTTCTTACCTATATTACCAAAGTTTTTGTTAGCAGAATAGCATGAAAACTTTGACACAGTTTCTGTTTCATAGTTTTGAATTAAAGCGAGTATTTCCTCGTATGATTCTGCACATATCCACTTTCCTTCTAAAAATATCATATACTAATAATTACTTTAATAACTCAAAATAATAAAAATAAAACAAAACTATCAATTTTGGAAAAATAACAAATCCACAAAATACTCAAAATTATATAATATATATTAAAAATTATAATACCATAAAATTATCAAATTACCATTAATGAGATTAGATTCTTGTAACAAACTTAAACTCTTATCGTCTCCCGATATCTTATCATATGAAAAAAAAATATTATCCATTTTACAGTTATTATTTTCTACTTAATCCTTCAAGTAATATAATCCTTTCGGCTATATAAAACAAACAAGCATGGCCAAAATTATTAATAAATTTAATTATACCAACAAAAAAATAATTATTCATGTAAAAAATAATTATGCGAAATAGATTTACGAGTTTTGCGGACTCTAAGACACCACCTGACTTTGCGGTATGGAAACTTGCTCAATGCAACTAAGGCATAGAACAAACAGACTCGTAAAAAAAAAAGCCGATAATTTTAATCAAATCTGATTGGTTGTTAGTTCAATCCTAAGAACTT